CGGCCATTTCAAATGGCATTCCTTGCTGGTCCTTACCATCATATCTATATCCTTCTTCTGGAGCGAAGGGACTTTTTGACTTGTATCCTCTGATAACTCGTACAGGTCTACCATTTTCAACATTTTTACTCAGTGCTAAATTTCCTGTTTGATCAAGAAATGATTAACAATTCAATACAGTTTACTTAAGATCACTTCTCCAGTTCACAAAATAAACAAACCAGGAAATATTTCTGGTAAAAGGAGCTCGCAGCAGAATATTATTACACTGTGCTGTACAGGGGTACAACGGTTCTTTCACTTTCAATGTTTTCAACCCTTTTTTCGATAGTTTCCACAAATTTGAACACTATACCTACAACAATTGGCACATTGAAATAAAACACGGTCCTAAGCTAAAACTGAGCCACGTGTTATGCTTACACCAGAAAAGTCTCTGGGCAAAGCTGCTATGGTGTGTGCCTGTTCAACTCAAATTATTATTCCACAAAAACAGTTGTCAAAATACACATACGAGTCCACTATATTCTTGAGAATCTGTTAAAACACATTTTGTATGCAGGCGAAACTCAAAAATATTTTCTCAGCAGTAGACAGTACATGTGTCACTTATAACTAAAACATGCACGTTTCACGCACCTCTGGTTAGAGTTTGATCCTTGGATTGAGGCGCGGTCCGTAAATTCTGTTGATTACAAAAAAGAACCAAAAATTTAATAACAATAATTATTAGATAAAAATAAACTGGCGGTAATTAGCTCAGTACTATGAAAGCTTCTGCTATTGATAAGATCAAAAAACTATGCCTTAATTCAAAGCCAAAAATTCTGTTTAGATTGTTGAACTTATTACCACACTTCCATACCTTTCTACTTTTTAGCAATTATTAAGTTAAAATATTGTTGCATATTTAAAAATAGTTTTGCAAGTTTTTTTTCAATATCAAACTACAGTCAGACAGTGTAAAGCACTTGATTTAGAACTGAATGTCACCTAGGTATCAACTGAATTAACAAAAAGCCAAACAAAACTTAGAGCATGGGCATATTTGATGATTAAACCGCATAGCTAACTTTAATATGTGTAATTAAATTGAGATTCATAAAAATAACAGTACCTTGGGGTTAGCTTTTGTACCCTTCAAATCTCTTCCACCTAAAAACAACAAAACATTCTGGTTTTCCTGTTCATCTTTTCCATACTACTCACAAAACTAACAACTACTGACATACAACAGTAATTACAGTACCAATCTTGTTGCAGCTATATACATATACACTGTGCATAGTTATTTAACATTCGTATAGGTGATCATACGGTTTCGAGTTCAATTTGGAATTAATATTATTTGTACAAGCAAGTTTTTAAAAAGCTGAAACTGCATGAGCCGTTTTGGCGAGTGTAATTTCAGCTTTTTTGAAAACTCACAAGTGCTAATTAATTCCAAATTGAACGAGAAAAACCATATGATTACTTCTTAATAATATAAACATGAAAAAATTCGCATGGAGGAAATGCCGGAAGATCTTTCTTGAAGCCATGTTTTCTCATTCGAGAAAACCTTTTTCAAAGTTGCTGCACTAAATTTTTGTCATCAGTTTATGTGATATCATTGGCTTGGAAAATTTCCTAT